TATCCCCCCCCCCCCTCCCATCTCTTTCAATAACTGCAATGGCTTCCAATAGCCCAAAGGTTATAATTACAAATATTAACAACCACCTACAAAGCCATCCAGAGCTCTGCCCCCGGTTATATCTCCAACCTTGTCTCAAAGTATCCCCTCCGCTCTTCCAAAGACCTCCTGCTTTCCAGCTCCCTCGTCAACTCCTCCCATGCTCACCTCCAGGACTTCACTAGAGTCTCTCCCATCCTATGGAACTCTCTACCCCAACCTGTCCATCTGTCTCCCACTCTGAATGCCTTTAGGCGATCCCTTAAGACTCATCTCTTCAGGGAAGCCGATCCCACCTCTAACTAACCACTCAACCATCACATTATCAAACAATTCATCCCCACACAGCTACCTCCTCATGTATCACTGGCCCCTCCCTTTTAGATTGTAAGCCCTCAGGGGCAGGGCCCTCCTTACCATCTTGTCTTGAATTGTATTGCAATTGTAAAGTCTTCCTTATATTGTAAAGCGCTGCGCAAACTGTTGGCGCTATATAAATCCTGAATAATAATAATACAGAGCTGCATTAATTTTTGTCTTGTATCTTAGAATCCTACACTTTGTATATTGATGGTGCCACGTGTTTCTTTCTGTCTGTCCTACAGGGACTGATGGAGCAGAGGTTGGCAAACTACAGAGCGAGGAAGGCCACAGTACACCAGGAAGATGAACAAACCAGCAACAGTCAGACACAGATGGAGCCAACAAAAAAATCATTAATGAAGACACTGACAGAGAGACTTCACGGTGTCTGCAGCAGGTGGAGAACACAGGATATAGCGGGCCATTGGAACATGGTGAGATGGGAAACTGAAGCCTTATAAAACTTGGTCATGTAGCTAGAAACAACAAATATTATAATCCCTATCCTAAAAGATGTTGTTTTTTTTTTTCAATTGTCTTCTAAAATGAAACACCTAAAAAAAGTTATCAAATGGAAAGTCACCAGCACTCAGAACATGAATTCACGTCCCTTGTTATTGAAAATGTTTCACGTGCGTCATCAAAGTCAACATTTCAAGGCCACGCAGGGCCCCTTCTTCAGGGCGGCATAGTGACCATGAAGAAAGGACCCTGCGTGGCCCTGAAACATTGGCTTTGATGGCGCATATGTTCAATAAAAAAGGAATTCATGTGCTGGTGACTTTCCATTCGATACTTTGAGACTGCATGGTGCCATCCATGCCATCACTGCGACCACCACTAACAATAACTTGAAAAGTTAAAATGTGGGTTTTAAAAAGATACTTCAGACATGCACATTGAATTGTTTGAACTTAAAATGACCCCCTGGCCATCATCTATATGAGATGGTGGAGTGGGAATAGAACGTATGGAAAGCCAATATAGAAATACAGATGTATATTCAGTTTTTGACAATAGATACCAGTGGCAGAACTATCGCCATAGCGACCCAGGCGGCCGCTTTGGGGCACAGGGGGGCCCGGCCAGGACGAGGAACAAAGGGGTCCCCCCTTATGCCGTGTGGGCAGCCTGAGTCGCTATGGCATCACAGACTGCTGGCTGTCACTTATCAGGGCTGACAGGTAAGAGGTGTGCAGGGGTGTGATCAGCCCACCTGAGACCCTGCAGAGCCCACCATAGAGAGTCTATGGTGGGCTCTGCAGGGTCACTCCCAGGTGGGCTCTGCAAGGGGTGCAACTAGAAATCACAGGGCCCCTTACAAAATGTTGCTATGGGGCTCTGTGATTCCTAATCACGCCCCTGATAGATACCCTTTAAGTTGTTTTCATGACACACTTGCTTTTGCAGGCTGGGCCACAGACGTCAGAAGCCACAAATGAAGCACTACCCCTCGATGACGCATCTTCTCCCAGCTCCATGTGGAAGACCACTCTACTCCTGAAAGTCCTCCTGTGGCTGGTACTGCTGGGACTCTTTGTAGAACTTGAGTTTGGACTGGCTTACTTTATCCTCTCCATGTTTTATTGGCTGTATGAAGGAACTCGCGGCCCCGGGCAGAGAAGGAAAGGGGAGAAGAGTGCTTACTCTGTCTTCAACCCGGGATGTGAAGCCATAGATGGGACATTGACTGCGGAACAGTTTGAGAGGGAACTGCACTATAGCACACTGGCTGGGATATAGCTACACAACATACAGCTTCATTTTTTTCTATGTGCAATATTAAGGGAATCTCATGATGATTATGAGCTTCCCTGCTGGTCCAATTCATGTTTAAATCATTGTCTCTGCTTGCAACAAAAAACAATGCTGGCCGATCAAATCTGTGTTATTATTGCTCCATCCCTCCACGGAGCCCGATTTGTGGGCAGTCCTATTGTGAAGCTTCCCCTTCATGAGTAATATCACGATCCAAGACATGCTGGTGTTAGGGGCAGCAAGTACCAGTGCTCCAGGAGATACATGAGCCATGGTTCACACCTAGGCGGCACCATTTCTTGCGCGTTTGTAGCGTAGGGGGAGGGGGTTGTGTTAGTGAAATCCCAGGTTGACCCGGGTGGTAATAAGGGGGGAGGGGGGTGTGTTTAGTGATCTGGCAGGTTGACCTGGGTGGTAAGGGGGGTGTGTGCATACATTAGTATTTGATTGGCAGCTCATAAACCATTGTGTGCAATGGAAGAGCACACGTATAAACTCGCCAAAACGCTCACGAAAATGTGCAACGTGCTTCTGTTGCGTGTTTTTGGGCATTTCCAATGAAGTCTATGGGGAGGAAAAGTGCTTTTAACTGCCCAAAGAAGCTCCTGTATCTTTTCAAGCGTCTGGCGTTTTCCTGCTAGGAGTTTTTCATCTCAGGTGTGAACCAAGGCCATTGAAAATCATGGGATTTCTTGTGTTGGGCAGTTAAAAGCGCTTTTTGAACTGCACAAAAACATCTGGGTGTGAACCAGGGCTGAGTGGTAAAGGTACATGATTGGACGGCAGTGATTTTATACATATTATTTTGCAGCATGACTACAGGGGCACAGTATGCTGTATTGTGGTCCTGATTTAACTTTAGTTGCTCTACAGGTAAAGTAATAATATGTTTTCTGTATTTATATTATTCATTTAATTCTTAAAATTAAAGTCTGTTCAGAATTAACAGAACAAATGTTTCACTTTTAGCTATTACCTTTACCCCCTTTCACTAAAAAGCACATCAGCGTGCCGCTCTTCATGCTGATATTAAATCATCTTATATTTATTAGTTAAAGGAGAACTATGGGGTCAGGGCTTTTCCCCATAGTTCTCCTTAGGGTAACGGGAGGACACAAACTAGCATCCTCCCGTTACCCTAAGCTCAGTATACCGCGAGCTACAGCTCGCGGTATACTGAGACGCCGGAGCGGATCCCGACATCGATGTCGAGATCCGCCCAGCTGCGTAAGTGACAGCTGGCTCTGCCTATCTAGAGGCAGAGCCAGCTGTACCCGCCCCCTCCCCCGTCCGTTCCGCCAGTCAGCGCTGGCAGATCGGAGCGGGGAGAGGGGAATCCAGCCCCTCCCCCTGTCACGGCAGAGAGCCGTGACAGGATCGAGAGGCGAGCGAACCCGGTATGTGTTCGCTCACCTCCCGATCTACTGAGCCGACCTGTGACAGTCTCATTGTCACAGGTCGGCTAGAACTATGAGGTGAGTGAAAAGCACTCACCTCATAGTTCTCCTTTTAAGCAAACATTTTTTTTTCCTTTTACTGACAATTACTGTGCCTTCCTGGAAAATCTCATCTGTAAACTCTCATGAGATCTCAGGGGAAAAAGGCATTTTTGTGCAATGTCACATGTTCCAGGAGGCAGACCCTCCACAGTCACTCACTATTATTATTATACATTTATATAGCTCTGACATATACGCAGTGCTGTACAGAGAAAACTGAGCCACTCACACCAGTCTGTGCCCCAGAGGAGCTTACACTCTAATATCCCACCACAGTCATTTATTATTATACATAATAGTATAATATATAGCTCTGACATATACTGCAGTGCTGTAGAGAGAACTCTAATGTCTGCACCACAGTCACATTCTATATTAATAAACATTTATATAGCTCTGACATATGTCACGGTGCTGTACAGAGAACGCTGTGCCAGTTACCTCAGTCTCTGCACCGGAAGAGCTTACACTCTAATATACTATAAGCTATGATTATTATTATTATACATTTATATCGGTACAGATTAAAGTGGAAGTTAAGGCAAGTTAAAAAAGCTCCCCCTCCCCCCAAGCTCCTCCCTCCCAGGCACTGCCATTTTCTCCCCAATCTTTGGTATCTTTGAGCTTTTCAATGGCCGTCCAGTATGGCGTAACTCCCATGCATGCACATGGGAGTTACTTAATTTTGGTATGCAGGGTCTGATGGGTATTTTAAGGGCTTTTATGGCAGAAGAGACTTACACCTGCGCCACTGGTTACACATTATTAAGTTTTACATGTCGACCTTAAATGGCTTCCTGTTTTACATGTGTTCAGTGTACAGACAAGATTTTCCACGGGATGTTACTACCAGTAATATCCTATGTAGACTTATACACCCGTGTGCATGGGGCCTTAAAGGGTATGTAAAACCAAAACTCTAAAACAAATTGTATAGAGTAGTGAATGGTTACAACACTGGCCATTTTATTTCCGGCTTTTTTTTTTTCTTGCAAACAGTGAAAACAAAAAATGTCTCCAAAGAAAGGGGAAATCCCCAAGGACCAGTGTCCCCATTGGGAGAATTTCCCCTCTCTTTCTCTTCTTGTGACAACCATTAACAATATCAGTAACTTGCCAGGGGTTTGGGTTTTGATCACTCCCAAGTTCCACCTATGCAAGAAGAAAAAGGTTTTGGCTCTAGATACAGTTTGAACCTTGTCTACACCAGGGGTAGGCAACCTCAGCACTCCAGCTGTGGTGACACTACAAATCCCATCATGCTTCTTCCTCTGGAAGTCATGCCTGTGGCTGTCGGAGTCTTGCAATGCCCCATGGGACTTCGTAGTTTCACAACAGCTGGAGTGCTGAGGTTGCCCACCCCTGGTCTACACTAACAATATTTGTGAAGCAGATTGGTTTCTGTGTCCCTGCACTCTGCCCATTCCCAAGACCACCAATAACACATCAGTGTCAGAAGCCATGAAAGGATATGCAGAAGAGCCCGGTGTCAACTTGGGCAGACATTGATGCCAAATATACAGCCTGGGCCCTCAAGAAGCCCCTAAAGTGCTGGGACTATGAGTGCCAAAAGCTAAAACAGTGTATGTATAAAGTCACTCGCACTCCAATCGAATTTCAAGTCAGAAACGGTTTATTGACTCGATTGCTATCACATCATATAGCGACGTTTCGGAACAACAGAGGTTCCTTCTTCAGGCAACAGAATGTGTCGCTATATGATGTGATACACTTATCTTGGATTGCAGAGGCATCTGCAGTCACTCTGGCACCCACCTGACTCTAAGGGTATTATTCGGTCAGAAGTGCGATGGGTACACTGGATATTAAAAGCTAAAACAGTTCTGCTGAGACCTTAGAGCCAAGACACCAGTGATTCAAGCGTAATTAAAACATGAACTCACTTTGAGAATGCAAATTTAGATGTTTCTCACAAGCGTCAAGCTCAGTTCCCCCTCTCCCAGCTTCCTAAAAGTCAGTTAGGCTGCTGATCACATTGAATGGCCAATTGGGTTGCACAGAGGGTGGAGGTGGGATGGTTGAGCCAAGTTTAGCCAAGAAAAGTCAGGAAAATTAGATCAAAGGTTCGTCAAAGGTTCTATTGTGTAATTTTTTCTCTGTGAATGTAATATTACCCGTGAATTGTCCATATCTGCGGCAGGTTCACTTTAAGGAGAATTACGTTTTATTATTATATTTTCCGTCTTCCAATGTTACCTCACATTCCCTTCACAATGCCAGCGTTTGTTTTTCTTATTAAGTGAAGCAGAAGAGTTTTAATTTTAAGTGACTATTGTTAAAAAGATGATAGAGAGAAACAGGTGTAACTTTCAAGGATGGCTTGGCATGAGGAAAACCTCAATCTAAAGCCATCTGTCTCCCTACTCTACGACTCCGTATCATTCAGCCACCATCAGCATCCTAAAAAAAAAATCCTGCTTTGGTTGTTCCAATTTTATATCTTCCATCATTAAGCTTATCGGCGACTGAAGGGTCACATTTTCCCACTTTTCACACCACTCTGCTTATTCACCCTGTTCCCCTTTTAGTGGGTTTTTGAAGATCCTGTCATAGACTTTGCCGATTTGTGTTTGTGACTCGGATCTAGTTGAAAACTAAAGCTGTGATAAGCGTTTGATTAGTAAAGACACCTCCAAAATGAAGCAGCTTCAAGGCTGCTGATAGCATTATAAAGCAGATTGGTCGTGTGTAAATATATCTCATACATTATGTGGCTAAAAATGTTTGGAAGCCTGGCCATCACATGTACATGAGCTTCTGGGACATTACATTATAAAACCATGGGCAATTAAATGGAGTTGGTTTCCCTGTGTGGCTACAGTAGCTTCCACTCTTCTGGGAAGGTTTTCCACAAGATTTTGGAGTGTGTCTGTGGGAATTTATTTCCATTTTTGAGGTCAGGTACTAGTGTTGGACAAGAAGACCTGGCTCAAAATTGGTGTTCAGTAGGGTTGAGGTCAGGCCACAAGAGTTCCTTCACACCAAAATGGTCAAACCATGTCTTTATGGAGCTGGGTTGAACATTCAATTCCAGAACTATGGCTGGTAATTTGGAGTTTGCTCCCCTGTGCAGCTATAACAACCTCCTTTCTTGGAAGGCTTTCCACAAGGTTTTGGATTATGTCTATGGCAATTTGTGCCCATTTGTGAGGTCGGGTACTGTTGTTGGATGAGAAGACCTGGCTTGCAATCACAATTCCAATTTATTCCAAAGGTGTTCAGTAGGGTTGAGGTCAGGGCTTTGTGGAGGAGTCTCACGTTCTTGCACACCAAACTGGTCAAACCATGTCTTTATGGAAATGGGTTGGACATCCCCTTCCAAAACCATGGCCCTTAATATGAAGTCCACCCCTCTGTGTGGCTATAACAACCTCATCCTAACCTCACAAGCCTTTCCCCAAGACTTTGGAGGGAGTCTGTGGGAACTTTGTGAGATAATGTACTGATGATTGTAAGAAAAGATCTGGCTTCCAATCAGCATTCCATTTAAGTAGGGTGTTCA